CACACTGCTTGAGCACTCAACTGCGGTCGGACATGTACACTTCGAGTGGCAACCCTGTGACTAGTGACAAGTTAGGAGATGAACGGAACAAGCCAGGGATCACAACCACAAGCGATCCGCAGGAACTTGGTCATACTGCTGAGACTGCCACTGAAGCCATTCTTGCCGCCGAGTGGTGGATGCCCCGCGGCTGCTGGCAGATCGTTTCCCAGATCGGAAACGATGCGATCTAGCTCTGGCAAGATTCCCTACGCAGGTTGGATGGCGACATGTTGATGAGCAGGGCCAGCGGAAACCGAAAACTCCGGAGCTGGCAGCCAAGAAACCCCACCCACGCCGAGAAGGAGCCACCACTGCATTGAGCTGAACATCAGCTGAACATCAGCGTCTGGAGCCCCACTAGTCACAATTCTACACAACCAAGGTTCCTCGGTGTTCCTGCTTTCATGTGGATGGGAACTTGTCACACCGAACAGCATAGCATCATAGCATCTTTCTTCGTAAGCGTCAAAGTAGCAAACGCAAAAGCAACAAAAGCAAATCTAAGAAAACATAATGACAATTTCCTGATAAATTTTCTTTGAGCAAAACAATAACACATCCCTTTAAGAATGCCCACCCTTTAGAAAGTGTAGGAAATAATATAGCAACACGGGCAAAAGATGCTACAATAATCACAGGAACAGCAGCATCGGAGGTAAAACTTCTATATATAGAGTTTCTTCAAAATGACGACTTGGAGTATCAACCCCCGGCCACAGCCCAGGCCTTCTTCGCAGGTGGCTCTGCCATCGTGACGCAGCGCGATGAACCGTGGAACTGAGCCAGTCCGAACAACGCAAACACTTGAGCCACGTCAAAACACCAGTAGCGACGAACGCCTGGGAGCAGGGACCTTGTACACCAGCCCACTCCTATGCTTCCATGGCAAAGGTCGTCAAGAATCCAAGTGAAAATTTCACTCTCCCCCATCTGTTCCCCAAACCCATCCAAAGCTCATATCAGCGCCTCCCAAATCAGACTTTTGATATGGGCAAATTTAGTGAACGGTTTTTGAACAGGCCTCTACACATGCCTTCAATACCACTTCATGAGATCTCCCAGACTTCCTCGCTCTTTTGACAGCTTCAGCTGGCGCTCACGCGACTGTAGGAGACGATGCAGGTTCTCGGCTCGGAGATCTCAGAGATGAAACTATTTGAACACAAGACCATGCGGCAATGCAGCTGTGGATCAAAACCCCGTAAAAATCCTGGTTAAGGAAAACACTCATCAAAGGCCAACGTCAAGCGTTTGCAGCGCCTGGCTACCAGTCTGAAGGTGATCTTCCCACCCAGGACTACAGTCAACCAAAAAGTTGGTTCATGAGGGGCTCTACACCAAAATCAGTTGTGTATTTTGCGAGCTGTTGGAGAAAACTTCAGGTATGTCTCAGACTAGGATGAAACCCCCAACCTCAAATGATTCAAAGGATCGGATCACTTAAAGACTTACACTTTTCGCAGGTCGCTCGGTTGTCTCCCTCACCAGGCACGCAGGTCCCCCGGTTCCCCCCCATAGATTTCTGTGTGGTATGCCATGATCGTGGCAACTCAAGTGGCAATTGCTGGCCATAAAGAGTATCAGGCTTGATGTAATGTATTGCTATGTATCAATTGTTTAAGTGCAGCTCATGACTGAAAGATCCATCTTTGAAAGCAATGCTATTTTCTGGGACACTCTTCTTTGCACATGCTTCTAGAAGAGAACATTGCATGTCAGAAATCAGAACTACACCTAAGTTGGCCCCCCAAGCAAATTTGGTAAGACACCATCTAGATGTATTAATTCACCTGTATTTGTGATGCGCCGTCAATACCATGTGTCGGCCGGTGGACCATACAGTGATTGGTACCGACCGTTTGGTTTGTCACGACATCGCTTCGTCCAGTAGTTGCCAAGCATGCTCCGAACAAGGCTCGAAAGCAAACAGTATTTAACATATTTTAACATTATTTAACTCAACGATTGAAACGGATGATTGAAGCAAGGGCCCCCGCCCCCCCTCACTCGTGCCGCAGTCCATCGGCGCAATCAGTAGGGTTACACACAGCACATGAAAGCACATGAAGTGGTGCACCGACCGAAAGAACCGCCTTCCGCAGTCAGTACCCATGGTAGTGGTTCATGAAGGAATAACAGGTGAAGCTCGCGACTCACACGTCAATCAACTTGCTCCCTGGAATCACCCATGAACATGAATGACCAATGTCCAAATCTCAAACTCCGCGCCAAACTGCCTTACACACATGCACCGTACTCCCAGCACGTTGAGAATATTGCTGAAGAACCTCAGCAAATACTCGCAGGGAAGGCATTTGATTGAAAGTGATTGCCCACCTGCTCCCTTTAAAGAATTTGGGCCGTGGACCCATTTGCCCACAGTAGATGGCAAAAACGGTGAGCAAATGTAGTACACCACTCGTTTTGAATTTTAGCCCAATTTGCTTAAAACGCAAAGCACAAGCGACATAGGCGCTTCAAACCTGATGAAAAGGCACACGCTGCAGCAAAGCACACGTTTGAGCTGCCAAACGAAGGACCAAAGACAGGCATGCCCAGCCAGGCTGGCGATGGTTTCCTAGAGGACATCCTGGTGCCAGAAACATCAATTCTGTCTGAACGTCCTACGTTTCTTGCAATTTCAAGTGAAGATTTAGACCTACTACTTGATGGAGGCTCGTGGGACTTGGCCGCCTCAAGCATGGCCCTTGGACGCTCGGTGAATACCCCTTTAGCGTAAGTGGTCTGTTTGGGTGTTAAACTCACGATCCTGTGTCGTCATTTGCAGTAGCAGCGCCTTTTCAGCACTGCCCATGGACTCTTTACGGTCAAGGCAGTCCCTCTTCCAGGGAGTGTCGTTCTCGACTTCAGTCCATCGGATTCATACAATCACGATGCCCTGAAAGATTGAGAATGACATCTTCGTCGATGATTGCCGCTTCCAAGGCGGTGGTGCCTGTCCTTCGATCTGGGAAATCAATGTACCGGTGAGAGGGCTGATTTTTGGGGAGCAACCCCTGGCGGTAGCTGTGCTCTTGGGTTCCCGGCAACTGGAACATGCAGCATGCCACAAAGGTCTAACGCAAATACCTAGCATATACCAACAAACACCTGAATTAAAATGCCTTCCCCCAAAGGAACTACGTATCAACATATTGTGCCGGGGCGTATCCTAGCTCAATCTCCTATCCCTGGATATTGATGTTATGATCGGTTATGATGAACACCTCAGTTTCGAGATAATTATCTCAGATCTCTGAATGTCACGTTGAGAAGAACAGGCACAACAGCTGCCGACAGAGCGGCTGCTGATGTTCAATCACAAACCGAAGACCAAATTTAAACAATTTGATGTGAACGCTTGGGGTGCATGTTCATTCGTCCCGAAAAAAATGCTTTTCCCCTTCAAGACATTCACCACATTTGTCGGGCTGAATCCCACCTGGCGACGAGGACCACTCAAACTCACAAAACCATATGGGCATGAAATGGCATGAACCACTTACTTGAGACTTGTGCCATCTGGGACTTTTTCCTCCTTTTCTTTTGCGATCCTTGTTTGCGGCAGAATAGGATGTTTGCTTTTGAATCGTCCCATTATGAAGTGGCGCCCTTTCTGGTTCTCCGTAGTTCTGTCAAAGCTTCAGCTTGCTGTGTTCTTGTGCATGCAGTGTGCCAGCCAAATTGGATCGATGCCTGCAAGTCATGTTTTCTTGGCAATCCACAGTTTCGGTCTTCCAGGGTGGCGCAAGTCGTCTTGAGGCACAAGTCGTGTTGACACGGAGTTTACAGGCATTTTTTGGAATGTATTTTTGTTGATTGTACATATCGCACTGTGGCAAGCTGTGAGTCGGTTCTAAGGAGAGTCAAAGCAGCGGTCGAAAGTGAAGGTTGCCTGTCTGGTCTTCGCAAGACCAGGTCCTCCATCTTTCTTGTTGGCCCCATGACATCTCCAAGTATATAAAGTGTAAGAGAGCCAAGATTTCAGGGAGTGATGGGAATGTATCACTCTCACGCATTGACATGGAAGTGGACAAGCCAAATTCAGGAACCCTTCGTCTTCGTCGTCTTCCAAGGGACCCGGAAGTTCCATCGAGTCTTCGCACAACTCGTCTGCTTTCTTTCGTCTTCAGACTTCGGGCCCGGGCGGGTTCAGGTCGAGCCGTCGCCGGAAACCGGGTCGCTTGATTTTGGTGGAGCAAGCATATGCAAGCATATGCAAGTTGAAACGTCTTGCCAGGGAAAACAGTCTGGACAGGTTGAACGATGAGGATGAAACATGGCTTCAACTTGCCTGATTTGACTTCCTATGATTCCATTGCCCCTGACATCATCATGTCAATGTCTTCTATCCGTCCACTTTAGATTTGGGGTGTCACATGTTGAGAGTCAAACATTGTCTAACACCAAACACAAGTACAAACACGCACATTGGGGAACTGCACAAGGATTGCGCTGGACTTGTTCTTGATTTGTTGCATTGTCTGAAAACCAGGCACTCTTTTCAGTGCGTGGTGTTGTTGGAGGTGTGTCCCTCTGTTAGGACTTGTCAAGGGAGGGAGGTCGAGTAACGGGTGTCGCATGATGCAAATCCAAGCGCCAAATTCCTTGCACACAGACCTTTCCTTACAGCTTTAGAAAGCGAAACAGCAAACAACATCAATCAACGTCAATGATTGAACTTTTTGCATTTTAAGATAAATCCATCACAGCCAGCTTCTAAGACTTCTATGTCAATCAAATCAAGCCGTCCTGCCTTTAAGTCCAACGACCAGAAGAGACTGATTTTACTTGATGCGGTCCAAAATTGCCAGTTTCATGTCGGGGTGAGCTCTGTTCTTACCCACTTACTGAATTAGATATATGTGGATACTAGTAGCTTCTTGTTACTACTAGTAAGGCACTTGTTACTAGTAGCGATGCACTTGTTACTAGTAGCTTCTTGTTACATGCTTTTTCATGAATTCCATTGAATTCCTTATGCCCATCTCGGTCCACCTCACAAGGCATAAAGCCTTACACGATCTCCATCGCTGAGCCGTGCCCGATCCACTTTGGCGGTCAAAGACGTGGGCTCTCCGGCGACCTCCTGGCAACAGCCGCGAACCCGGCGATGAACGACAGCCGCGACAGCCGCGAACCGAACCCGGGGGGTCGAGTTGTCGCCAGGTAGGTCTTCCTATAGTTGAGCTAAGCTACACACCCCATGTCTTCGAACGATGTCTGCGGTACAGGGTGCCGAGTTGGGATGGATCGGCCGAGCCATCCGGGGCAAAAGCAAGCGAAAGGAGACAAACAGCACCGTCTTATTGTCATCAGTGGAAAAACAGCTTCCAGACTTCTCAGCATCTATAGGGGCACACGAAAACCAACTCTGGGGCAAGTCGAATTCGTGTCAAGCGCTTCCAAGCGCTCGAATTCGTGCCGTGTCGTTGGCGCTCTGAAAAGCGTTGGACAGTTGTGCAAGTTGGACACTTCTGGGTGGTCCACACGGAGGCACCGTTTCTCGACTCTCCAGCGAGAGCTTCCCGGCCGCGCGGGGGGGTTTGCAAGGTCCACACCTTGAGGAAGTCTTCCAGTTTGCTCACGTGCAGCTGATGCATCAATCCCGTGGGTGGCAAAGGTGCACCGCCTTGGAAGAAACCACCCCAGAGTGCCACACGATGTATCTGGAGATCGCACAGCCAACACATTGCGTTCAAGAATTGTCTGGGGTTCAGGGCCTCTATGGCCTCCTTGCTAAATTTCACATCCCCAAAAAACATTCAAAATAACTACAACCAGTGTGTCTCTTTGGAACCTTACGCCTTTTATCGGCTTCAGTGGGGAAGCTTCTACCTGCGATCTGATGCTCCCCACAGCTCTGCGTCAATCTGCGTTGTTGGTTGGAAGTTTCTCAACATCAATCAGGTGTGCAGTGATTTTGCAGTCTATCACCCGCAACCATCCTGAAAGAGACAGAAGTAGATGGAGTATCAAATTCAAGCTCCACCACCTTTCCTTCGATCTGGATTTGAAGGATATGATAATATGATACAAATCAATTCCAAATCAACTGAAACATTATAATATATCATATGTATTGTATTCATGATTCATGATCAACATACACATGTTAATATTCACGCCGCTCCGCGGCAAGGTCCGCCCGCACCGCCATGAAACAGTTGCCCAACAACAAGGGCAAAAACGGTCACCCACACAGATTCGAAATCAGAAAATCCGGCCCCCCGGCTTTCGTGACAAGACACATGAACAAAAACAATAACGCGTTTCAAAACCGAACATCGAAGACCAACAATGGACAAACACATGTTTTTACCACTTTTCTCTTGCCGGTTCCGGGCAGGCGCATGCACGAACTAGTCAATTCCGTGCTGTAAAAAACAGTGTTTTGAATTCCGCCGTCGTGACCTATCAAAAACCATTGTTTTCACCAAAATATGCCCCCACCCCATGATTACGCCACCTTCGGTGCGGGCGGATTTAACTGTGTGAATGAAAGCTTGTCCACGCTGTTCCAATCGCTGCCCATGCATGTTCGGCAACCCCAGGTGATCATGTGTCGGATACACACAACTTTGATGTGCATGCAACTCAACTAGGTCTGAGAAACAACATGTCTTGCAACTGCACAACTTCGAATGCAGTAAACCCTCCGATTGCCGCTATTTCAGGTCGGAAACCATGAAGGCCCGGCAGTGAATCAAAAATACTCCATGGAAGGGTCAGGCCACTGTGATGTGGTGCTGACAGCACAGTGCAACTTGTTGTGTCAATGGAACCTCTGACCATGCTGGCACCTGCATGAGCCAAATCATTTCAAAAATACGTCTATATAGATGCTTGCTTCATGTTGCTTCTATAGCTACAGCATTCTTATATTTGCGAGGGAGGGAAGCACTATCATGCATGTTCCATCAAGGTGGGAATGTCAACAAAAAACGAACTGGCCACCTTTGGAAACAAAGAAACACACAAGCCGCATCATTCCGTGCTTTGGTGATGCTTTGTAGAAAAATGTCACCTTCCTCACCGCCAGGTGACGAGGTAGATCCAGGTCCGGAATCCAGGTGTAGAAGGAGGAGCGAGGAGTCTTTGGTGCCAGGATAGGGCTAGGACGATCGTCAGCGCTCTTCCTTCATCGATGGCCGAGATCGGTAGTTCGCAATGGCCGTGTGAGGAGTGGATTTCGATGGATTTAGAATTTCGGGAATTTGAACCACACAGCACTGTCGTAGGATCTGCAGCATTCCCTTTCTCGCTTGAGGGAGGGATTGTGCTCAGTATCAGAGCTGTTTTGTGATTGGTGGGCCTGCAGTGATGAAGTCATAAGGATCATAAGGACCAGCACCCTTCAACAGGTCACCACCTGACACTTTTAAGTCTACAAAAGCCACCAGAGGAGGGTGCTGGGGCTGGGACTTGTTTCTTCATTTGGACGGTGATTTGCTCACCTGGAGGATTCGCAGGATTTGATTTGGATGAAAGGCTCGGAAATCAATCGCGCTGAGGCGGCTGAGGCTCACATCATCAGGCTTGCGCTGGCTCAAGGAGCTGAGTGCAGTGACGTTCATGGCGCACGAGGTGAGTCCAAACCCAAGGCTTTTGAACAAAACACTTGATCCAAATTAATAGCGAGGCGACGATTTCACTGCGGAATACGTCAGGGAAGAAACCGGCCTCTTTTCCCGAAACAGTGAACTGTAGAGCCTTCCAAGCGTCAAAGGAGGGATGGCTCCGACTATAGGTGCCAAGTGGGTTGAAGTTGTCCGTTTGAAACCTGCTCCTTTAGCGAGCGAGAGCAATCTTTCAAAAAAATGGTGTCAATTTCAACGGATGGAGAGGACACTCGGCAGCTCGCTGCCCACTTGGGCAGCTGTAGCCAGCCGTTTCAACCAACAAAGGTGTCAAGATCACTTTGGGGGGGAACTTCCGGAAATGCCCAAGATCACTGTTCAGTAAAGAGGGTTCTTGGGAGTTTCCGAGAGTTCAAACACCATCTAAGACATGTTCCAACACCATCTTTATATACATTAACATTCTTAGATCGAAGCTTCGCGACCCAGTTGCGCCCCCAGTTGAGAGGACACTGCTGCCTTTCTGTGGCCCAAAGGGCGATTTCGCGGCAAGAGAGAGGTTCGATCTCTCCACCGCTCTAGTCGGTGCAATGTGCTGTTCACATGAGGCTAGGTTACCTAGATCCTGTGGTTTTCACAGGAAAAATGTGATTCATTGGCCGTGGAAACCACGACACTGGCCCTAAGCGACGCGTTGGCCCCGACACCCCTCGCGGCCCCTCGCGGCTTGGCTTGCAAGGCCAGATCTTGACCTGGTCAGCAGTGATTTTTGGGGGGTCCGGGCCGGACCTATGACCTTCGTTGCGCCTTCGCTTGTACTGCAAGGGGCACTCTTAACTTGAACTTCCCAATACTTGCAACCAATATGGTAAAGAAAGATCTTCCAACACCAAGTTCCGCAGGGTAATGACTTTGTACCATCCAGTTTCTTTCCTGGACATATCAATTCCAATGGCCGACCCGAGAACATTCCCTTCAGACCATGCGCCTTCTCCTCCTACGCCCAGGCCGCTGCAGCCGCACAGCCGAAGCGCCCCGTCGGCAAGGGAGGCCTTCGACGGTGCTTTTTGCTTTTTTTAGGTGTTCTTCCCCCTGGATGGGATACGTCAAAGTGTCAAGGAACTGAACACTCAAATGGCAGCAGAATCCATTCCCGTCTTTTCACCTTGTGATTGCTTTGGTTCCAGTCAGGTTCTGATCCAAACAATTTCCCACCGCAAAGTAGCCGGCACATCGAAGGTCAGAGGGTGAGTGATTCTTGGAGGATTCGGAGGTGGCTCACTTCGGGACTTGGAATTAAAAGCACCGGGGAAACCAAGTGTACAATCACAATTGTACGCTTGCCAAATGTCCCGCTTCAATCATCACTAAAGCTTATCTATCTATAATATGCATATATACTCACAAAGTGCACTCTTCTAGGAGTGTGCTGCTTTCACACCTAAAATGGTTTCCTTCAAGAACTTGTTCAAGTGACCTACTGTACAGCAAGCAGCAACGAACGTGCGTTCCGGACTCTCCGAGTCGTTCATGTTTTCAGGTTCTGCTTTTGGTGCACTGGAGATCACACAACCCTCAGCCATCCTCATTCACCACAGCCATCATCCACGCTGCAGGATGTGACTCGGAGTTCGACTCAATTCAACACCTTCTCGATTCCCATCAAACCGATGAAATCACCCAGTGACCCAGTCTCACTCATACTTATGAAATCCATATTAGCATCTGCCAAAACGCCTGGAAACAAAAAGGACATGATCATATGAAATCATACGACCTCTCGCACGTTTTGGCAGTTGCTAATATGAAATCCTGGCATCTTCCCCACACACGAGGCTCTTTTCCAAAGGTCGCTCCATCCCACCGTACCCCGACGCCGCACCGCCACCGGCCGGGTGCCGTGACCTGTGCTTGGTGCAGCGAAGGCACAGAGTCACCCATCTCTTCAACATGGGATCAAAGCGTTCCACTGTGGCCTCGGCTCTACACGGCTTCGCGACCGACCTGAAAAAGGCTAAAGCATGCTATATAGCGAGTTTAGGGTTGTGCAGTTGTGCAGTATGTTTTGTGTGCTGAAAGCACCTGAAGTCTATAGAATCTAGGGTCTGAAAGACATATTAAAAAATATCACTTTGAACACTCCTGCACATCACTAGCAGCATCTGGGAGGAATATGAAACCATTGGACAGAGTGCAAAGAGTGAGTGCCCTTGTCCGCGAGAACTAACTGGTGAACGACACGTCAATGATTTTCTTGGTTAAAATGACTACTGCAGTGAACCTGCTGGAACCGGTCTAGTGACTGAACATCTCATCCGCAACCTGGCATTAGTTGCTTGTGCGTATAGATCACAGTGCTGGATCCAACATTGGATATATATATATATGGAAAGGTAATCGAGAGGCCGATATGTATAACATTGGATAGACCCCGTGGCTGTGGTCACACCAACAGGAGCTAGTACTTTTTAGGTCGAGGTAGTGCGACCCGAAACCAAGAAATGCAATTCAACACAAGTTGGTGGACCATGATGTGCATCTCAGTAGAGGATCAATATCAGTACAACCGTGAGTCTGAGGGTTGGGTGACCACCAGCCCCACCAAAAAGAATTGGAGGGTACTATACATGCAAGGAGAATCCTTCGATCCAGCTACCTTGCTGGAAAAGAATTTGCAACCTGCCCCCCCAAACATCCACCAAGACTAGACCTCCCCTGAAAGCGAGGGGGATTCGTAGATGCATGGATTCCTCAGGCTTGATATCTATCAATGAGTTGTTGGTGAGCCGAAGCCCCGGAAAATAAACAGTCCCTTGCGCTTCATTCATCAACGGTGCCAACGACTTGCCGTCGTCACCGCCGATGAGGTAGAAGGAGCCTGGCCACGAATTAGGACGTCTATGCAAAATCGCCTCAGTCCCATGATTGTGGATGGTTTGAGTCCATGAGTGAGGATTGCGTGCCAAGTTCCCGACCTGTCAGGTGAGGGTGGTTAGGTTTTATCAGTCCTCCCGCTCCTCCTGCCCTCAACTGCGAGGGCTAGGTCGCACTGGGCACCACCGGCCCTCAACTGCGAGTGCTAAGTCACAGTGGCCACCGCCAGACCTCAACCAAGTGAGAGGCACCGTGCACCGGGCCTCAACCACGAGCGCTATAGGCTATAGATCACAGTGGGCACTACCTGACCTCAGCCACCGCCAGACCTCAACTGCGAGCGCTAGATCGCAGTGGGCACCGCCCGACCTAAACCGCGAGCGCTTGATCACAGTGGGCACCGCCGGACCTCCACAGATAGAGTGCACAAAAGAATGCAAGAATGTATGCAAAAATACATGCCAGATTGAATACCAGTTTGTATGCCAAGTACAATGTCAGAATATACCCGACAGACAGAGTGCGGGAAAATGCCAAGTAGAATAAATATATATATATACATATGTCTTAGCAAGACACACCAAAGAGACTTTCTTTGATGGCACAACAAATGTCGAAATACATGTCCGAGCCCATGCCAGGACCGAAGTTGGACCATGTCACAGCACATGTCAGACTTCACGGCAGGAAAAGTCAGAACACATGACAACAAGGATGTCAGACCACAGTCCAGAACATTTCCCAGCCTATATGATAGATTGATAGATATTGATAGATCGATAGATGATGTGTCAAAGCACAAACTAGATTCCCTGCCTTCTTCCAAACTAGATTCCCTGTGTCTCAGGGTGGGGATCACTCGAAGTAAAGTACTGTCTTGTACAGAGATGGAGTGCAAGTATTGCGTGTTTCAGTTCTATAGCACTTCTGAGGTCATCCTTGGCTTAGACTCTAAACGGGTGCAATGAGCGCAATAAAAGAAGTGAACGTGGCCAACTTAGGTTCGTTTCTGGCGACATTGGCGGATCTTTTGTTTCTCAATGGCTCCGGGCACCGATGATCTTGTCATTCTCAGAAACCAAAGGATTTCCCAATGGGATTTATTTGGATGCCCAAACCTGGAATGTGGGGAACGTCTTGATGCGATATGTTGCGATCTCCAGGTAAAACCAAGGTGCTTCGCGGCAGCGCTCGAAGTCCAGTATTTAAATCAGCGTACGTTACAAGCGTGCAAAACTGCTGAAGAGCTGTAATCAGACTGCAAAATGATGCTCGCGAACGTGGCCACAGCATGCTGTTGAAGCCAGGTTCTCCCTCTGACACATCATGTGCAATCCGAACATCCTGTGACCAGTGTTTCAATCTCATTCTGCTATGAACGGCTGACGGAGACCAGACCAAGAAAATCCCACGGCTCACCTCCAGCAGCTGCTGCTGCTGAGCCATGCCGTGCAGAAGGCGCCGGGGGCAGCTGCTCCCAATGGCCTGCACCCGGTCGCGTTCCAAAACGCGACCGGGATTGGTGTGAAACTCACCTTGAGACAATCATCGAAAACGCAATGAACCTCCGCCAAAGCATCATGAAGCCCTTTGGAATCGTGGGGCACGTCATCCTTTTTTTTGGGAGCACCAAGCTGGGATCAGAACAGCATGAACACCTCGATAGGCGCCCCCTGGCCTTGCTTCCGCAGGTCGCAGCGCTCCAATTCGGCCACCGCCTGCGGGACCGGGCGCTGCGACCGTCAGACTCGAGTCGTTTGGGAAAGGTCCAGGTGGGTTTGGATCAACTAAGAATGTCAGCTTCCAAAGGGGTTGCCAATGGAGAACCCTACACTACTTCTTGGTCTCCATTGGTCACCCCTTTGGAAGCTCTATAATGGATGGACACATGGTCGCTGTGCCAAGGCTTCTTCAGAGGCCTAAAGAGTCAATTATTTCATGTTAAGTCCTGCAATGGACACCGCAAAAAAACGAAAGGAGACTTGGTCAAAGATCGGTCACCTTTGGATTGTTCCGGTCACTTTTAGACCAAGCTTATATATATAATATGTATACTTGTACGAATCTTATGGTGTCGTGGGTCTTAATCAATTGTAGTCTTCCATTGCAAACTTGGGTATATAGTACACGCTGCCTACCCAGGGTTAGAAGACCATAGGCTCCTTCTGCGATTGAGATTGACCACCACCAACCGACCGGGCGCTGCCACCCACCGGCTCCTTCTGCCCATTGTGGCCGCCGGCAATATACAAAGACCCGGCCTGAGCGGCTCAAACACACAGACCTGGCTGGTGCAATAAACTGGAACTGCAAAGCACGGCAGAACTGCAAAGCACATTCTTTTCCATGACGATACTATAGTATTACTATATATATATATTACTGCATCTTCAATATACATCAATATACATATTGTTGTACAATGTAGCCAACTTGGATTCAGAGCTGCAGTCTCCTTTTCTGGATCACAATGACCAAACGCGTCCCCCACCGGAGTAGGCTCCCCACCACCGACGCGGCGGCCACCCCGAAGCGATGCCTGCGACGCGCAGCAAGCAAACGTCGCAGAAACGGTGCGGCTGGGTGTCGTAGAAGAGTCAAACTTTCAAGAATGATAATTACCCAAACACTTCATGGAACTGTCACATGTTTCCCACATTGGCGTGGTCACCATGGTATGGAATATTTTGCCCACATTGGGGTCGTGTCTGGGATCACTGTCGGCATATGTTTCATACATGTCTGGGAATGTCTGGGATACATACCAATTGTACCAGTACCCTCACTTGGTGACCTGTTGGAGGGTGCTGGTGAACAAAAACAACCAACATATATATAATATATATAAATTCATTGAAATCTAATACATGGATCCATATGAATCCCAATGTTCGGTTGCCTCAAATTTCGACATCTCTTTGCAGATCTTGATCTAGGAGGCCAAACTCCTTGTTACTCTATACCTTTGCAGGCCTACAGGCTTGAAGCTGCTATCAGGTGAAGTAGCCTAGCAGCAACGCACCTCTCGTTCAAGAGTCAAGAGTCCTCACCCCAGCTGGTGCTGTGGATCGGCTTTCATCGTGATCAGCTGAACTTGTCTGGTGTTTTAATCAATGAAGGAACTGCAAGCCTCCAAGCCACTCATCTCGTCTAGACTCTAGACGTGATCACGTAAGTGACCGTGGTCAACCGTGGTCTTCCAACAGGTACAAACAAGCACCAACCAGCGCTCATGACCCATGGGACCCATGGGACCCATGACCCATGCCATAACCGCCTGGGGACGGGCGCTCGAGCAGACCAGGTACATGCTGCTGGATCAAAGACTTCGACCTGGAAGCACCGAACCAGTCGGAATGGAAGCCGCGGACCCAGGCTGCCTGGAAGCCGTGGAAGAGGTCCGTGAAAGGCTGGGTCTTTCAAGCAAAAATGGCTGGGTTAACGGACTTCGAAGACGATATGGCGCCAGTTCGACGTCCGAAAAAAACAGAAGGTGGCCGGATTGAGCTGTTGATCATGAGGAGCATTACCATGGTGTGAAAATAAGACTACTCTTTGAGCATCCGAGAGCAGTCAGCCCCCGCTCTTTGAATCTCTTTTGAGCTTCCTCCAAAGGATGCTTCAAATGGAGCTGTTCATCCAAATGGTCCGAAATACGGGCGACACAAACTACTGTCCAAAGACTTCGGAACAGGGAGACTTCCCAAGTTGAACTCACTTTGAAGATAAATTGATTGTATATGATTGTATCCATATTTATGTACATATATATATTGTATAATCATACATGTTTTTTTTGTTTAATACAGTATATTGTATATAATTACATACACACCAAATTGTTGAAAGGATTTCTGTATCGACCGGTGGTGAGGGACTCGATGGACCAGAAAGATTCTTTCGGCGATTTCCACTTCAGGACCTTCATGACCCTGATCATTGTGCTTGTGCAACCCCAAGAGACTTCATGCACCTGTCGCAGCAGCTTGAAATGAGTGCCAATGGGTGGATAGTACAAATTGATACAAATTGTGTCCAGCTAGATCAGGGAGAAATGAAAAACGTACTTCGTTTCGCACCTTTTAGATTCAATGAATGGGTTTAAGGGACAAATCTACAGGAAACCCTCGTTTTCACCACAAAACTATGGGTTTCCAGGTCATGAACCAAGATAAACCACGTGCAGTTCACAAATGGAATCAGAGTTGAGAGTATGATTGAGCCAAGACACAATCATGCTTCTATCAGCATTCACACCTCACTCGACCGCGGCAAGTTGCTGTTGGGGGGCCTCGTGGGGCGTTTCAGCTTCTGAAGGCCTTCCCAAGCAACAGGACAGGGTGGTTGAAAACATGGAAGGTTGAAAATCCGTTACATGGGCGATACCTAGGTCCTAAGGTCTTTTTTCTGCCAAGTCACATTTTCACCCCGAATCACCCCGGTTCACCTCTGTAAGATGGCAAAGGATCGCACTATACTCGTAGGTGCTGGAAGCATGATTGTCCAAACAACCTCTTCTTAGGTGTTATATTTTTCTTAACGTCTTTGAACAGTAACAACTCCAAGGACCTGAGGTTCTCTCCAAGGAACAAGACCCTGTCTTCGGCATGAGTTTCTTGTTTTTTTGTTTCGGGGAAGGTTTGCCCTCCACTGCTCCACCGTGCGACGTCCAGGTCCCTCAAAAGGACTGCCCCATAAATGACACACCCCAAAGTGTGGGATATGACAGACATGCGCAGCCAAGTGATACGACGTCGTGAGCTGTTTTCTTTTGGTCTTCCATTTTTGTCCAAATCATTTAACTTTACACGGTCAACGTTTCATGTTTGGGACTGCCCATGCCGATGCGAGCCTACTGCATAAATAGTGCCCTTCAGTTCAGCTGCAGCACCTGAGGGAAAGGAGGTCCAAAAAAAATGAGCGGTAGACACGAGTAGGAAGTGATTCACATGCTGGTGATTGCATTGAATGGTGGAGGAGTGTATAATTCATTTTATGCATCCACTTAGGAATTTGGAATTCTTCACCATTCTTGAGATTTGATTCTAACAGTCAGAGTTACATATTTTATGGTGACCCAAAGGTGAAAGACCTCGAATCAATGAACGCCTTCGGAATTCAATGTATTCAACAAAGAGGCCAACAGGGTCTATGCACGTATACCAAGTACCTATCTATATACTATACATCTATCTACCTAAGTTTCAGTGCACTATGTGAGCAAAAAAGGGAACAACACATGAAAACGACAAGGATAAGCACCAAAAAAAAGAAAGGCCAGGGGAAACACACGAAACAGCCAAAGGAACAAAAGGGCATCCTTTGGTCCTTTGGTGAGCAAACATGAGCACACCGAATGGAACAAACAGTCCCATTGAACAACATGATTCCGTCAGTCACCCGTCAGTCCGAACCTCCTGCACTTCTTCCGTGGATGTCGCCACACAAACATGGGCACGGGATGGCGCGGTTTTGGGGTCGCCAGTGGTTTGGGGTAAAGTCTCTTTGTTTGAGAAGCACCCAAGCATGGCTCTGGGGGCTTATCCATACCAAAGTTGACGCAAAAACAACTTGCTTGCCATGTTTTTGCATGACCAATCAGATCTTCTGAATCCTCGAGTGATTTACTCACCAGTCCTCGAAAATACCATCACCTTCCCAAGTCTCACGAACAAAATCAATCAATCAAACACACCATCAAAATCAAACACTTGTGGCCAAAACTTCAGACCAACGGTACCGAGGCACATCCCAGTGGAGCCAAGGGCATGGCGGGTAGGGCCTGAGGATCATCGGTGGGAGGGTATGCAAGGGGTGCACCTCCACGAGGAGGATGTTGTTACATATGGGATGAAAACACGATAATTAAGAAGATGATGGCTATTTGCTAACGGTACGTGTACGTGTTTACGTGCTCACGTGACGCAGGTGAACGATCTCAGAACTTCTTCCAGGAAAGCTTCTGAGTGCTTAGCTTTCAGTCAAGTTTGGATGTGAAAAGAAAAGACACAAATTCTGGGTCACGTATATATATATACACACACACTGGACGCCCTGTCAGCTATAAATAATAGAGAGCGGGTAGTCATGGGGGGTGGGGTTGTGAAAGTTGTGATTTTGTAAGGTTTCTCTTTTTGCAGATGATATGACATTGATAGGGTTGTGAAAGTTGTGATGTTATAAAGTTTTGCCTTTTTTTGCAAATGCTATGACATTGATAGGATTCTAAAATTGATGATTTGTTTTTGCTCTATGTGCAGTTGGTACGCATATTAGTTCATTCAACTATGTACTACAAAAATTCATAAATCCCAAAGGTTAGGTGTTTACTAAAAAGTTCTTGGATGCAGTAATCTAATTCCACGCAGCCCCCATGCAAACCCATATCTCTTGCTTTTAGAGTGTGAATTGTATTGCTCTTATTGAACGCAATTGGGTAAGTACATCAGAATCAGAAGGCAAAGAACTCCACACTCTAAATAACCAAATTATAACTTAATTCAACTTCATATGTAAATTCAGATTTAAGTCTAGTTCAATTTATTTGGGGTTTGATGCAAGCCAAATTTTAATTTGCGTTTAAGCTACCTGCTATACAATTCAATTTCAATTCTATTATTTTATTTGTTTTCAATTTAATTGTAGTTTTTATGAAATTTTCATTTATTTCAATTTAACTTTATGAAATTCTCATTTACTTCTAGGGAATTGGTGTTGCTTTGAGCATGAGAGATTTTTATGAAGTTTTTCAAACATGGAAGCATTGCTTTCTTAAATGAAATAAATTCATACCCCCCGCAACACCCACTCTCTAGAATGAAATCAACACTCAATTAGAATTCCATTTGCATTGAATTGGAATCAACTTAGACCTAGATTAGACATATAGAAATCAAAACTAAATAGCAATGACAATAGTGTAAAATTAGATGTGTAAAACAGTTTAATCTGAAACTAAAGGCATTAACATTAGAAATCACTTACAAATACATTGAAATAGACAAAATTACAATTTAATCCAAAGCAGAATGAAAGAGAAGTACATTAGAAATAAATTGTAATTAAGTTGGAATTGAAGGAACAACATTAAATCAAAAAACAATACTTAAATTGACATTGACTTAGACTTGTATTGGCGTGGTTTAACCTAGGGCCTGGCTAGTATATAGAACAATATTGACTTATAATGTTTTTATAACTAGATTCAATTAGAATTTGGCTAGAATAAATTGCAGACTCACTTTGAATTCAATTATATTGAATTCAGTTCTGCTCAACTTAGAATTAAATTAGAAGCATGTTGCAAATTCACATTTAGACTCAAATTTGAATTTAGTATTAGACCCAAAGTAGTCAAACAGAATTAGCATTATAATAGAATTGAATCAGAATAGACATTGAATTTAGAATTTGATTACAACGAACTTTAAACTACATAGACTTAGTTTAGAATTCAATTAGGCTCCACTTAGAATTAAAGTATAAGTATATTACATACTCAAGTTAGATTCAATTTAAAGTTTAATTAGACGCAAATTTGAATGTAAATTAGAATTGAACTGGTGTTAATTAGAAATGAATGAGCAATAATTTGTATGCACTTTTTGACAAACCCATGGAGAGGGACCCAGGAGAGGCTGGACAGGAGACATAGGTCTGAACTTTTGTTTCTGTTTTGGTTTTTGGTCACTTTTGGGCAAACCAGCCACTTTTGGGCAAACCAGCCAAGACCAAAACAAACAAACAAAACAAAAAGTTCAGACCCATGGACAAATACCCAGGAGAGGCTGGACAGGAGACATAGGTCTGAACTTTTTGTGTTTTTTTGGGGTCATTTTTTGTTCTAAACTTCATGTTTTTCTTGGTGTGTTTATTGTTTTCAGAAGATATTTTGCATTTGCTATTGTTTACATATCACTATCCTTACAAAAACCCGCGTTTCTACAATCTACACCACTCCACCCCCCATGGCTACCCCTTCTCAAATAGTAAGAGTCTTAGAGAAAGTGGACAAAAACTACTCAGGTTTCAGGGCAAATGTGAAACATGAGGAGCTGTGTTAAACAAAAACAACAAGATGGAGCCCACGAACCCGAATGCAAACACGTTCAAAAAGCTACATATGTCCAAATGACACTCTTGTAGGACACTCTTGTGGGACACTCTTGTGGGTCACTCTTGTAGGAAACTCTTGTGGGACACTCTTACGGGACACTCTTGTGGGACACTCTTGTGGGACACTCTTGTGGGACACTCTTGTGGGACACTCTAGCAGGAAACTCTTGTGGGACACTCTTGTAGGACACTCTTGTGGGATACTCCTGTAGAACACTCTTGTAGGACACTCTTGTGGGACACTCCTGTAGGACACTCTTGTGGGACACTCTTGTGGGACACTGTTGCGGGACACTCTTGTGGGACACTCTTGTGGGACACTCTTGTGGGACACTCTTGTAGGACGCTCTTGTGGGACACTCTTACGGGACACTCTTGTTGCACACTCTTGTAGGACACTCTTGTGGGTCACTCTTATGGGACACTCTTGTCGGACACTCTTGTGGGACACACTTGTGGGACACTCATACGGGACACTCTTGTGGGACACTCTTGTAGGACACTCTTGTGGGACATGCGGGACACTCTTGTGGGACACTCTTGTGGGACACTCATACGGGACACTCTTGTGGGACCCTCTTGTGGGACACTCTTGTAGGAGACTCTTGTGGGACACACTTGTGGGACACTCTTGTGGGACACTCATACGGGACACTCTTGTGGGACACTCTTGTAGCACACTCTTGTGGGACATGCGGGACACTCTTGTGGGACACTCTTGTGGGACACTCATACGGGACACTCTTGTGGGACACTCTTGTGGGACACTCTTGTAGGAGACTCTTGTGGGACACTCTTGTGGGACACTCTTGTGGGACACTCTTGTAGGAAACTCTTGTGGGATACTCTTGTAGGACACTCTTGTGGGACACTCTTGTAGGACACTCTTGTGGGACACTCCTGTAGGGCACTATTCGTACGAGACTTCCTCCAAAAGTCACGCTGCGAGGCTGCAAGACGAGCGTTTCGTACGAGACTTCCTCCAAAAGTCACGCGTCAAGTCTCAAAAACGAGCGTTTCGTACGAGACTTCCTCCAAAAGTCACACGTCAAGTCTCCAACACGAGCGTTTCGTCCGAGACTTCCTCCAAAAGTCACATGTCAAGTCCCCAAAACGAGCGTTTCGTACGAGACTTCCTCAAAAACTCACATGTCAAAGTCTGCAAAACGAACGTTTCGCACGAGACTTCCTCCAAAAGTCCAGCGGAAACACCCATCGGAGCACACACATCACGCAGTCCTGCCAAGCAGTTTCGCGATTCCAGCCCCTCCAAACAACATCCGCTCACACGCCAATCCCAATGTGACAGCGACATTCACCTCTACCACAACTCACAACCTCACGATTCCCTGGGCCTGCCACGAATCTTTCCGCGTCCACACGTCTAACGCGCACAAAGTACTGCGCCTGCCACGAAAAGTGGCAATATCATCTCATGTCAGCTTCAACAAAATTTGCACCACACCACACGTTTGGAATGATTTCGACCGGTTCTGAGCACACTCCCATCCACCAAAATCGCCACTTCAGCTGAGACTGGTCACGAAAACAGAGCTTCGATGCCACACCCTGAAACGCAAATCCCAATGGCACGGCCACATCCAACACCCCAAAAACACGACTCTCCAAACGCTAATCCCAATGGAACTGCGTAACAAACTGAGGATCTCACAAAATGCTGCGCCTGTGCAGCGAAGTGCATCACGTTTCTTGCGCGACATGTCATTTTCATGCAAATCACAATGGAATAGCGTCGCAAACTGACACGTGACACATCCATGAAAAGTCACTTGCAAAAGCTTCCCCCAATGGCAGCGCCTTAGCGCTCTACCGCGAACGGTTGCGAACAGTTGCGAACGGTTGCGGACGGTTGCGGACGTAGAAACAACGGATCGCGAACAAGGCTCTACCCCCAGACCCCCAAGAGTTAAACGAGAACCCTTCGCTACGCATTCGGGAACAAGATACAAAAAGGAACATGCACACAAGGGTTGTGAAAAAGAATAACTTTAGCGTCCCAAACAGGCTCAATGCTCCAGCCTACTCTCCTCGAGTGGGATGTGCACACATCAATCAAAGGGCAGGTCAGCTGACAAGTAACACGGTAATCTAAACAACAACAACAACAAGAAGAAGAACAAGAACAAGAACAATAAAAAGAACAAGAACGAGAACAACAACAACAACAGCAACAACAATAACGACAACAACAACAAACTGTTTTTCCCGTTCACCGAAATGACAATTGATTTATTTATGTACTTAGTCTTACTTATAGTATTACTTAGTTATGTGTCTATTACATATTTGTCTATTTCTGTTTAAAGCAGTGTTATTGCACGATTGTACCGTGTTTTTTGGATGTTCTTACAATGCAAAGAAGGTTTTCTGCTGGCATGCCAGTCTGGACGTGTTTCTTTCTTTCAAAGTGTTCATGGTATACTTTGCACTTACGGCGGTTCTCTGGAACTTTGTTTTCAAGCTTTCACTTGCAGCAGGTGGACTTCCAAGGACAACTCTGCGGAATCTGTATCCACAAGTGAGCACAAATCCTGAAACATGAATTAACTTCGATGAATCCTTCGCTGCAAGGCTTGACCCCATTGCAACTATTGCACTATAACCATGTACTTCTTGCGGTCCAGTGGTCCAGCGTTTGGGGTGCGGTTTCGGGCCAATCTCACTGGTCGAATGGCCATTTTTTACGGGCAAACTTCATCACTGAATGGGGCCCTCACCCCCCACCTCATCCACCCCCCGAAGCAAAGTATTGATCGTCTTCGCAGCAATTTATGAACGTCAATGAACTACGTGCAAAGGGCCTCAAAGAACCTTTGATCTTTGATTGGGGTGTGGACCACAACAATTAAGGAACCAACAATCCTCATTCCCTATCAAAACCGCAAACAAGTGTAGGATCATTGTCACCTCCCCCAAGACTGTAACAAGCAAGGAGAAAAGCACAAACAAAAAACACAAAGAACATCAAATAAGAATGAACAACTCTACGAGTCAATATGTTGGTGAACCAAAAGGAAACACACACAAAAACGAATACGCTCCTATACTAACATCCACATGCAAACAGCGAAGCGGTACCGTCATGCGGACCAAAGCGGACCGACCCGGTCTGCCTCCCATTTGCAGGTTCTGGGATCAAATCCTCAGTCGTCGGAGAAAACAGCGAACAAGCACCATCTGAATTGAACTGAGCATTCCTTCACTGCGGAAAACAGCCTGTTCACTGTGAAGCAGCCCAAAAGTAAATCTTATAGCCGCACTTATAGCTTATTATATATATATATTATACATTCTCATGTTGGATTAGGTGACACGAAGCTCACCTTGTAATTCCCGGCCTTTTTGTTGCATGTCAGGGGCTGCCCTGTTGCAGTGGTGGTCTTTGCCGATGGAAGTAAAGTGGCCCATCAGGTAGAAGCAGAGTGAACATCGTGCGGAACCCCCAAAAACCTCGTGCGGAGTCTGAGAACCTCCAATTCCAACCACTTCCAAACCAAAAAGGGTACGACTTTGATGACTTTGTCTGGTGCTTTCGCCTGGTCAATGAGACTTCGATGACTGAAGTTACGTACCGAATCCTCGATTCTCCGAAGGCCGGAGATGGCACCCTTTTCGCGTGTTCCAGGAAAAACATGCGCAAGAAACCCAAACATACATACTCACTCAAACACACAAGCACACAACACCACCACTAGAAAGAAACAACATCACCACAACCGAACCTCAAACAGCTCTGGTCATGAGTTACCTTGAAATACGTTCCTCCAACACATCATTTTGACCCTTGATGAATAACCCCCCCACATGAGGATTGTAAAACCGTCTTCAATCTATGGGGGGTTGAAGTGGAATCAAGGGTCTGCACTACTCTCCGACTTTCGAACATGAAAATCGAACACCCCTGTGACATAGCGGGGCGATCACATGGTCTTTCTCTGCGGGGCCAGTCCATGTGTTGTCCTTTCCGATCCCTCGATGGTGCCACCATCCCATCGGCAACATGTTCGTCCGGGGGCGACATGTTTGGACACCCCGGGAGCGAAGCTAAGTCTTTTTTTCCGATTGCTCCGTTCGTAGCGATGCCCGTTGTTACAATTAAGTGGTTTCTTGTGCCGTTCAGAGCGATGCCAGGAGCTACTATATAGTAGCTTCTTGCTCCTAATTAGTAGATATGTTTGTCCTTCGCATGAATGAATCATAATGAATCCAACGCCCTGGCTGTCGAGATGTAAAACGTAAAACCCTTCTGAAGACGGCATAGACGCGGCAGGTTTTCCAAATCAGTCTAGAGATTCCACGGCCCGTGGCCGCAGTTTCCGGGCGAGTGATGGCCATGCTTCACTCACTTCACGGAGTTTCTCCAGTTTTCATCCATCTTGGCTGCCCAACTCTCTGTCGGCAAGGCTTGAGGACTGGTCAGCCGTGACTCTGCTCGCCCGCCGAGCACATGCAAGCGTCCTGGCACGCCAAACATCACATGGTCGACGCGGCCGCGAGGAAATGCAGCAGAAATGGTCCATCTCTTATGATGTAAGATCGAACATTCCCACGACCCACGACCTGTCTGGGACTGGCATCTATAACTAATATAATATATATATATGTATATGTATATATATATATATTTGTATATACGTATATGTATAGACTCAGGCTGGCGTGGCTCAAGTGGGGTGGCATAGATTCCATGTCCCATGGAGTGTTTGGGATTGATCAATCAATGGACCTCAATCGTTGATCTCAGGGTTGGATTGTGTCCATGGAATTGGATTGAACTGTCTCCAATCGTTTCTATGGAATTGGATTCCATGACGCCTACAGGCTTTGAGCCTAGCATCATGCCCATGTTAAATGTTATCCCTCACGGATTCAAGCCCTTGGATGCTCGTCAATCAACTGTCTCCATGACAACCACTCGTGCAAAATTGGGGGGTTCCTGTTTGATGTTGTTTTCATTCACGTCGCGAATCTTACACAGAAACCATTTCGGGGCCAAAGAATAGATCGCGACCTTGAACTGCAACATGCTTTTTGCAAGGCCTTTCACTGCGACCGCTGCGCAGCGTGAACGTGGAGTCCTCAGCATGGGAGGAACATGGCTCTTTGCGGTCAAAGAAGGGGAGCGTGTGAGGGCTTGTGAGTCTCTATGTGATTGGGAGCAAACCTCCAAATCACCTTCAAGAGATTCTTTGAGAATGTCTTCCCTTCAACAAGCAAAGCCATAGCCATACTGTCCGACTTGCATGCAAAGCAGTATGTATATCATAAGACTTGTTGGTTTCATGGCGTAGCATCACACAGGGCATTATGGTCAATTCCCCTAGAGTTGGGACTAAACTAAACATGAGTAAACACCATGTAAACACCCAAAGAATCCCAAAGGTATAGGTTATAGGAGTGGAGAACATGCCCAAGTTCTGTTGGCCTTCAACTGGCATGTTTCTTGTGACGTGACACATTTCATGTTACAAGTGCCACTGCTTCTCACGAGTGCATTGGCAGGCTGATTGCTACGGGGAACCTCTTCGGTGTGATCAGTTTGTAGAAGAAAAAATTGCTCAACGGGTTTCTTCTTCTGCAGGTCAAAGCCCTGTGGCTTCGCGTTAGCACATGTTAGCACGCAGGTGGAGCTTCCACTGGGCTTTGGATTTCCTATCCTGTCATCTGCGTGATGCCACGGGGCGAATACGAACGGCCTGTGACGCTGTGAGGGTGCTGGTAGCGCTGTTAACATGGCAATCGCCGGTGCACCTACTCCGGTGGTACGTAGAGACCGATACATCGAAGAGTTTCAATCCAGCCACTGCTGCCTTCATTTCCTCTTTCCGTTTTCATCCCTGAAGCCGGGGGCAGCCAGGCTGCCAGGATTGGATTCATTTCCGCTGGTGTTTACTTACTCATCAGAATCATCAAACATCGTAAAAAATGGTCTCCAGTATTTTCCTGACAGTCACCCCGGGCCCCTGCGTACTGAACCGACTCATCTGATTATATGATCTCAGATGATTCCCGTTGGAAAACCCCGGAATACCTCGGCATCCCTGGAGCTCCCAACGGCATATCCGGTAAACGACTCCACTTCTTGACCGTCGGATCAAAGCGCTCAGCGGAAGCCAAGGCCTGGCCCAGCTCGGCGGTTCCGCATGGGTGTGGATGAGGGCGAGGTGTGGTGAATAGGGCGTGCGTTGGCGATCCGAAATGGAAGTGCATGGCATAGACGCGACCCATGGGACTGCCATAACTGCCGATCAATTGGGGTGGTGCCAGGGGGGGGGTCAATGTAGGCATATATTCCATACATGGAGTGTATGGGTATGGCAGTCCAGAATGCTGATCCAAATGGTTGGGTTTTATGGGGTGGTCCTAGTGTTAGTTGGGGGAATTCCTACTCGAAGCTAGTTCTCTAGGCCATCTTCCTATTCTTTTTCACCTGACCTTTGAACTTCTAATGTAAATTGTTGGTTGGCCCTCTCGCTAGTTTATCACACCTGAAGTTACAGTATCTCTTTGGCCAAGATTGAATTGCTATAGCTGGCTGCCTCCCCCCTGTTGGGCTGCCGGCTGACGTTTGCTTTTCTTTCTGCCAAGATTTCTCATTGCGACTTACACCCTCTCACAATCTTTTGAGCCCTAACACCTGATGACCCGACGCCTGACACATGAAACTGTGCAAAGTCAGTCTTGTGCAACTTGAGCACCTTGCTCAAGTCATCTTCGTCCAACATCTGGTCTTTCCAGCTTCTTTGTTGGATCACTTCTGTGGGACTGGGATGACAGTCTTTGCTTGCATTGCACCACATTGTTCTTTGTTGGCCAGTTTGGTTGAGAATTTGGTTTTTTCATGCTGGATTCCCTGAGCATTTGCGTGTCTCTATAGCATTGTTTGTGCTATTTGTTGTGGGTGTCCCTGTCTGCACTTGTGGAAGGTGGAGCCGAGTCCGTTGGAGAAGTCTCGACATCAGATTGGCACTCATCGGCCCCCCCCCGAGCGCCTTTTGGCCATCGTGTCCCCCGACCTGGGCCAGCGCTTTGCGCTGGAGACCACGTCTCTCATCGGACCCAGCGGACGTTTTTCCCACAACTTGGCGTTTTGGACGAGTGCTTGTTTGAGACAAACGCATTCAGAGATTATTGGGGTAGGAGACTTTCCACAGCAAAGGGCAAGAGCGCAATCGAACACTAACACTCTGGGGCATCCACGACGTACAACCTGCCACGATCCGCCAGCAAGCACTCGAAAAGCAAGCGGGCCAATGGATCATGTCTGTCGAATCGTGTGATATCTTTCCCTACCATGCACCGGCCATTGATGGCCATCGTCTTCACACAACAGCCACTCAAAGACTTTGCTCATCTGTTGGAGACTCAATTTGTTTCCCCACTGGCACAATGCGCCACCGGTAGGAGGCAGAACAAGCCAAAGTCTATCAGTCTATCCTTTCTTTTGCGTTCATGATACCGTCTGTGAAGAGGAGCAAACCACATGTGTCTCTTCTTGAAGAGGTGGCGCCCCTCTTAAACGGGTATATATACAAATGTGTACAGCATGCAACTTAACCAAACGATTCATCTACACACACACACTAAAGAACATCTTGTCCAAAGGTGGTGGCCTTCAAGATCTTTTGAAGGTGCCCCATACTATCCCCTATACTGTATATATTATTGATTATTATTATATAAATCTATATAACATAACAAATACTAATGTTCTTCCAAAGTCCGGCATGCAAAAACAAGGGCATCAGTGACCCACACGCATTTTTTCCACTCCTTAGACCCATTTCGACTAAAGAAAGATCTGTGGGTCTTAAGGAGGTGGCTTTTCAGTTGGGGTTGAAGGCGTTTGTCTCTCAATAACTGATGCCAGGGCCACAAGCCATTCAGAGTGGCGGCCGCGCAGCCATAGCGGCTGACTCTCATGGGTGGCACAGCTTGCCACTGGCGAGGGGGAGAGGAGGGGAGAGAAGGGAAGAGGAGGGAACAGGGTTTCTCACAGCAGGTGGGAATTAAGGGTCTTCATGGACTCTCGACCTGTAGAAAAAGGACAGATCTGACCACTTGAGTTGATGGAGCAAAGCCAACAACCCGACCATGGGCTGGGCCGGCTCCAGGAGCCCCAGACCGCAGTTTACAACTAGCTTTGTGTTACCCCAGGAGCTACGTTCGTAGCGTCCTCGCTCCGTTCCTAGCGATGCCCAAAATGTTACTAGTAGCTTCTTGTTAGCTCTTGATCGTCTTGAGGATGGAGGTCTTTAAGCATGCCCACCTCGTCCGCAAAGGAGATTTCAGAGAATTGCGGGTTGGTCACCGGCGAAAGATCTGAGGATCTGCTGGAGTCTTGGTGGGATGGATCTGCTGCGAAGGTTGAACTACTACGAGTACTCACGGGATCTGCTGGATTTCTGGTGCCCCACTGAGAGTGGTCATCGGTTTGCCGGGCTTCGCATTGGCGATATTTCAATGGACCTGCCCTGGAACGGGGAGGTCGAAGCCTTACACAAACTGAGTAACCCATGATCCGGGGTCAATGGGACGGCATATATTGAGTGTCTGGGCAACAACATCCAACTAGGGTAACTATAGGCTTCCACTCCCAGCACCGACAGCTCCCGCCTCCCTTCTGACACAGCTCCGATATGCTCCGATCAGCCCCTGCGCTCCAATCCAGCTCCGATGGATTCGCGCCTCACCCCGAAGAGGGCTGAAGCATTCCACGGCGCAAAGCGCTGGGGATGAATCGTTCTTGCCTTGGTCATCGACTGAACAGCCGATGACAAGGCTGAAGCATTGCTGATGGGGTTCAGTAGATTGGACTAGATCGTCATGCTCGGAGCCCAAGCATTTGGGGAGGCTGGGGAGGTTGTCCATTCTCCGAATTAAGGTGTTTCGGGTCTGCTCTCCTTTTGAGACAGCCCATGATTGAATGGCAACCAGTACATCCTGTAAGGAAACATCTGACTCACTAACATGGAAGTCGAAAATCCCACTGAAAATCCCCTGTTTGTAAAGGAAAGTAGTCTAAGTAGTCTTGCAAAGGCCCATGTTAGTGAGTCAGAGTGTAAGCAAAGTGCATAGCGTAAAAACAGGGTGTCCCCAATCAATCCCCTGGTACATGGAATACATGATCTTTGAGCCTGATGTTTGAGCCTGCCGAAACTGATGTTTGAGCCACATCGTGACCGTCCAAGTCTCAGTGTGTTCGCAGGGTCAACCAAGTCCATTCGACCAAGTGTGTCGGATGATTTGTGTAATTTCTTTCATTGTGATTCAATCCAAAATCATTGTGATTCAATCCGACAGATGTCTGCTGCAATATGATGCCTGGCAAAGAAAACACTTCAGGCTCCAACCAATCACAAAATCCCACCCGAAACGGACCGCGACAGAAGTAGCTCTATTAAGAAAAGAACAAATGACCTAGACTTGATCCTGGACTATGTAGATTTATACTACTCACTATATAATATCAACCCCTTTATATAATTTATGATTCCACCCCTTTAGCCCTCTGACGATAAAGGAACCATCCCAAGAGAGAGCCTTTCAACACTTCAGGTCTTGGTTGACATTTGTTTCCCTTATCACAATGCCTGACCTTTGAGCCTTCTGAAAATTAGTGGGCCAAGGCCAAGGTACATGCAAACTGCTTGCAAAGTCTCATCGTCTTGAAAGCCTTAAAGATCCTTAAAGATCAACACCGGCATGGAAGTCATTCCATCCAACCAAGCACCTACAACCCCAAGTCTCTCCAAACCATGAGTCAAGCCGTTCTGACCCGGTAAGTGGAAGGTATTGGTTACTAGCTTACTAGCTATCAGCCAGAAAAAAAGCTGCTACAAAGTCGATCCAATGTCTGAGCAGCGGTGTTCCATCCAGTGAATCCCGTTCCAAATCATCCGATGGCAGATTTCTGACGTCGCATGATGACAAAAAAATACCATCATCCATCATGTAGACGCTTGATTAATAGTCATTAATCACCCCCCTACTTGGATTGTAAAACCCCTTCTACCTCCCGCGGCCACGAAGGTCCACCCTCAGAGAGGTGGCCAGTGCTGCCAGCGTTCCACTGAAACAGCATTCGAAAAGCCCTTTTGACATGCAAACAGGAGCAGCTAACGCAAATCAGCAACAGGAAAGTTCCACGAAGATCATGGCGGCACCTTTGACCTTGCGTGACACCTTCACAAGCAACCTGAGCGCCTCATCAGTCCAAACGGGCCGTGCCCCCCGGGCCAGGTGGCATAGACTTGTCCCATGTGTGAGCCACATGCGGCTCGTGGACGCCCGGTGCAAGGATGCACTCTTCTTCATATGGGGAGTTGAAGTATTCTCAAGAGTCTACATTAAGACACTCCACTCAGCTCTGGGTCCCATTCACTTTGATACATCCAACATCATCCTCTCAACACCGGGTACATCCGCTTCGGCGGGCCGAACAGCGAGCCCGCAACAGGTCGACCTAGGCTTCCCCACCGCCAAGGACGTAAATGTCCGGAGGCATTCTGGCGGTGAATTGTGCATTCGGAGTCTGGCGGTCAACTAAACTGAGCTAGGGCCCACCTGCTAGAACATCCCTGATCACTGGACCGCGATAAACCAGCTTCACGCCCTAGCAAGCTTCACGTCCTTGCCAGTTACTTGAGGCTTGTAATCCCTGTCGTAGCTCAACTTGGCTATACTTGGCTCACCGCATCGCCGTCTTCGGGCCGTACGCTGTTCCGCCTCTTCGCGCGCGAACAGCGCTGCAGATCGGCCTCTTCTTCAGCAGTCCAAGGCATTTGCTCAAACCATCAGCCACATGCCTCGGGTTTCGTTCGACCGGCCTCGAGGCCGATCGGACCGGCATCGAAGGGGATGGAACGGCGGTCGCCAAAAACACTTTTGTAGGTGTTAGTGCTACTACAAGTATGCGGTTGCTTGGAGGTCCACAGATTTTGCGAGGCATATGCATGCATATGTCAGGTAATACCCATATGACATGATCCATACTAGTGAATCCACTCCCAAAACAACGGAAACGGGACCAAAAGTCAACCCCTCCAAATATGTTAACCCCCCCAAGCCTAAAACCCATAGGCTTCCCGAGGCCGTTTCCCATGGTTATTGGGGGACCGAAGTTTTGTGCCACAATACCTCGTCTCCGAAGTTCGAAGGATCACCCGTCGACCGTCTGTCCGAAGGGCGCTGTCTCGCGCAAGCGCATGGAGCTCATGACCTCGGTGCGGACTGACACGGATGGACGGATGGGAAGACACCTGTCACCAGATGTATACATATCCAGCACCTATAACCAGCACCTTTGCATACCATGGAAAAAGAAACTGTTTTGTTCCCAGCACCTAGACCTATACATACCTATATACTAATGGGGATCACCTGGCTGGAAGCTACTTAGGGATCTCCGACATCCCTTGAAGGTCCAGGAAGGTTTGGATCAAAAGGCAGTGTTTCCAATGGCCTTTTGGTAAACAAAGGGAACATCAAAAGATACACTATCAAAAGCCTACGAGTGATTCAGTCTGTCACAGTCTCCGCTGAAATGCTGAACAGTTGAGGGCTCAAACTCAAGACATACTCAGGTTGTCGTATTTTTTTGGTTAGCTGGGGAAGTCTGGGGAACAACGCAAGGGAAACCATCACGAACGCTTTGATGACGAACAAAAACACTTCCTGGCGGAACATAACCCCTTGGAGGGGCCATGAAATCCACCAGCAGGGGGTGAACTGGACGTGAGGAAACCACGGCTTGTTCCAGGGGAAGACGTCCAACGCCCCAGGTCTGTGGTTTCTTGAATCTACATTCCACAGCCTGGCTGCCCAAGGTTCCAAGCAAGGTCCATGCGAATCTTGGGGGTCCAAAGCAAGATCCCCCCGGCACGTCACACCGTCCGTCAGTTCCAAAAGGATGGCTTCCGTCGTCTCTGCTGAACGACAGGTCTCCCAATGGCTTATGGCCGAGCTCTGCTGAACAACCGGCCGAGCTCCACCGACCTCTTTCTTCGAGCTGCCATGTCAAGGACCATCCATGCGATGTGTCGAATCACGAATAGGAGGTGTCGAACAGGCCCCTAGATAAAAACCGCTCTGCTCACACAGGTATATATATATATATTATACACATGGCTGCCGATAGACCACCGCCTTATTGCTCCACACAAACACAACAAAACCAAGAAAAAAGAACACAGCACAGTAGACTCTGTTGTGCTGAACCAAACTGCCTTAAACTCAACACCAGTGGCTGCTAATGAGCCCACAACTTGCTGAGTGTCTATATCCATATGTTCACTAGTCTGCGTTGGATGGCTGAAGAATCCTCAAGCTCTGAAAGAGCACAAACAGCGACCTCCAAGAAATAGAGGTTCATGCATTAAACAACTTTCAACCAACCTAATTGAAACATATTGAAACCCCTTTTCTTTCACTTCGGGCCTCCCGGCCCCCATGACACTTCCAAGGACCATGGCCAAGCCGGGCTCCTTTTGGGAAAGATCGGTTGTTTCCATCTTCCACTGATAGAACTCCTAAGAAACATTATTTTGGAGTGTTGAAAGCCAGGACAAATAACTATCTATATATATATAATGCTGTAGACATGACCCGTTGAGCTCTTTCATTTTACTCTATTTTGGCTTTGGAAGATTGTTTGTCTACGTTTTAGCTCTTTAACTAGCAGCTTTAATAGAACACAATAGCACAACCAAAAAAACACATAGAATTCATGATAACTATAGACAAACTGTAGAATCTTGGAATTGTACTGGATGTCAATTCCTTTTCGTATTGAATGCGTAGGGGAATATTGGACCTTCCTTGACTGGCGGTTGAACTCAACCGCCAATGGCGTCAGGCCATGAGGTCGGGGGCCCAGATCCAAAATGGCCTCTTCAACTGGTTGGAGGTGTAGGCAAATGCCAAACCACAAAAAGAACGGAACAAAACAACGACTGGAAGAGTTGAAACTCCTCTTAGGTGTACAGTGGTGTATCGCCAGCGTTGTTTCTCAAAATAAGGACTATGTACCGGTGGTTGAAGTTGGCTCGGGTGTCTTGACGTCATCTACCAAAAGGACACCGCATCACAACGCATCTACCAAAAGGAAACCGCATGCTGTTCGGCACGCGCAGCTTTTTTTCCCTTGATGTGCTGTATCTGTATGCACACCAAACCAAGAAGCACCATCTTGTCAGCGAAAACTCGCCCCCCAGTTCCATGAGTTCCGTGGTCGATCCGTATCCTGTAGAGTATCACGCCTGTCACACTGTACGGAGCAAACACATCCTTGGAAAAGGACTCTACTGCGACCTGCAAAATTGCTCTTCCACTCCCTAATCGCATCACAACCCCGAAACGACCTGCTTCGACCCCGATTCCCTTGCTGCGCTTGAGCGCTCGCTCGTCCGTCCTCCAGAATTCTCTTGAAGACACGGGGCGCTCGGCGCCTCAAAAGCAGGCAAAGATGAAGAACGGGTCGACCAAAAAATGAACGGATCGAAAGAGCTGGTAAAGGAATGAAGCCTGCTCGTATTCGAGCACGATTTGTTTGTCAAGTGATCTTGTCAAATGTTTCAGCAGTTGAGTCGAGTACCTCTATATACTTGAGAGGAGGGAGACACGAAAGGTAGGACAGCGGGAAGAGAAGAGAACGCGAGAGGCAGGAACAAAAATGCAATGTTCGACATGGTGATTTTCCCCTCGGAGGCGACCTTTCGTAAATATATGTTCATATGCACTCGAAATGTTCAAACATATGCTCTCGATCTCGAAATGTTCAAAAAGATTCTTAGGAAAACAAACTTGCCCCATGGCTCAGATCATCTGTGAGCATTGAATCGGAGCATCATAGGATTTGAACTATCCTGAAACCATAAGAGGCTCACGAAGACGCTCCCCAGGAGAGAATTGACGTGCTTCACAAAACAAACTCTAGGTATGTATCCCCTCGGGGAACACCTTTCGTGATTAGAATTTCATATGCACTCTTTCTGAATGTTCAAGAGGGTTTCAACTATCCTGAAATCATGAGAGGCTCACGAAGACGTTCTCCAGGAGAGAATTGAATTTAGAGGGGGGGGGGGTCTGTATTGAAAAATCAATTCCAAGGGGGCGGGGGGGGGACGGGGGTCTGCATTGAGAAATCAATTCGAGGGGGGGGGGGTTGAATTGAATGATCAATTATTAGACCCGGACGTCCCAACACTTGCTTCGCAAGACAAACTCAAGGTATCCCCTAAAGGGCTACCTTTCATATTATACATGAAATATAAGTATCACGTGTCCCGGCCACCACGTGACAGTGTTATGTCTCCTCATCCTCTCATTCTTTAACACATACCTATTACTGTACCTATTTATACCTATTTATATAATATAAGTATTAGGTTAAGTTAATTTAAGTCCCTACTTAGAACACATAGAACACACGCGGTATGAAGTGAAATGGCTCGGAATCAAAATTGAAGACCCAATTTCCTTCATCGTTCATCTTTTTGATGTTTACGACATCTATCGCATCTATATCTTGGGAACAATGATGAACGGGGCGAAGCACTTTTCTTTGCTTTCGCAAAGATCCTTCCTAGTCCTGAATCCCTCTAGGTACAGCTCCCAGAAGAACTGGTGTGTAATAGTAACTGTAATACCTCCACTAATGAAAAAGCAACCGAGTAGAAGTAGAAGGTATTGGCAACATGGTCGCTTAGACAACCAATTTCCTTGACCCAATGGGGCCATGCAATCTCAGGCACAATGCTTGACCCAATGGGTAACACTCATTGAAGCGGTTCTCATCGTTGAACCGTTTTTTGCGGAGTTGAAACCCAGACGACTCGTCTCCTGCTCAAATGCCGGCAAAGGTTTGGTGTGGTGACCACATTGGCCTAGGTGAGTAGGTGCACAGAAACGAGGCGAGAAATGAGACGCAAAGGCTCCAGGAGTCCATGTTGGGGTGGAGAAGAACGATCCCCGGCGAGTGGATGTGATTTTCGGGCACCTGCAAAAACCCTCCAACCAGCCAAGACATGGAACTGGCTTGGGAGACATGGAACTGGCTTGGGAAAAGGGATGGGTGATTCAACATGTCTGACCAAATGGGAAATGAAGTATGAATCTATATGGATCTACAGG